CCGAGTTCTCTACTTTAAAGCGATCATCATGTCTGACCTGATGTACGGATCCAATGCGTTTTCCCCGCTTCTTACTGCCAACCAATTGGATCGGCTACAGGTCATGCAGAATCGGGCGGCAAGGGCGGTTTTCGGACTCTCGCATCACACCTCCGCGCGTACCCTCCTGCTGCAATTGGACACCTACAGAGTATCCGAGATATTCAGGCAGAAGTTCATCGTTCTGGTCTGGAGGTCTCGGAATGAGCACGCAAGTTCTGAACTGCAAGCCCTCCTAGTTCCTTCGTCAGCTGGCCCAACTAGGTTGCACTCCACCATGGGTCTGCGCCAACCGCCAGTTTCCACCAGGTTCGGCAAGGGTTGCCTCGCGTTCCGGGGCGCCCAGCTGTGGAACACATTACCCAGCGATATACGTGCCATCTCCACGCTCCGCCAGTTCCGCGCCAGCATGATCCCGCACACACTTACTGGCCTTAGCACCTAGAGTACCAAACGTCTTGTTTGATGATCAGCTGGCTTAGTTTTTCTCCTTCTCTATCCTAATTACATCAGTCCCCAATTTCATTTATTACTGCTTTCTATCTGCATTCGCCACCTTTTCATTGGGCAGATCTGCCCGTTTGGTTTGCGAATTAAAATAAACACAACAACAACAACTTGTCACACTTTCACGAGGTGTGACACCAACCAACTGCAACGATATAGTTATGTGTTTTTCCAAATTTCCAACATTCCCTGTACTGTCCTGAAGAGAAGGGAAAGAAAACGTTTGATAGAAAGGAAGTGTTTACTGAATTGTGTGGATTTGCGTCGTTGCATGCGAATACTTATTACGAAATAATAATACGAACTTAGAAGTTGCGACTTCGGCGGTAATAGTCATGAAGTTGATTGTTCCAACTAGGCACACACGCTTCTTGCCGAACTTGACACTTGACTGACTCACGACTGCCATCCGGAGCACACGAGGAGCACGTCGCACCTTCCACTCGGCAAACCTGCAAGAAAGCGCCACTTTCTGCTCAATACACGGTGTTTCGGGGAATTCACCCCTCATCAGTTGAGCTTGAGTAGGCTGAGGAAGATTGTGCCTGAAAAGCACCACTTATATACTGCTCTCCAGGCCAAACCATCACCAGGGATACAAACTTACAGAGACGCTTTGTTTCCAGCGCGACAAACACCTCGTGAAGCTCCAGGTAGCAGCGTGAGTCAGAGTCGCTCATGGAGTTGTGATAAACAGACGTTGAGAGCCATTATAGCTATTCGCAACGCTGTCACCTCCAACAACTAGTCGCACGTCCGCGTGAGGGACAACAATACGAACTTAGAAGTTGCGACTTCGGCGGTAATAGTCATGAAGTTGATTGTTCCAACTAGGAACACACGCTTCTTGCCGAACTTGACACTTGACTGACTCACGACTGCCATCCGGAGCACACGAGGAGCACGTCGCACCTTCCACTCGGCAAACCTGCAAGAAAGCACCACTCCCTGCTCAAAACACGGTGTTTCTGGGAATTCACCCCTCATCAGTTGAGCTTGAGTAGGCTGAGGAAGATTGTGCCTGAAAAGCACCACTTATATACTGCTCTCCGACTAGTTGTTGGAGGTGACAGCGTTGCGAATAGCTATACTGGCTCTCAACGTCTGTTTATCACAACTCCATGAGCGACTCTGACTCACGCTGCTACCTGGAGCTTCACGAGGTGTTTGTCGCGCTGGAAACAAAGCGTCTCTGTAAGTTTGTATCCCTGGTGATGGTTTGGCCTGGAGAGCAGTATATAAGTGGTGCTTTTCAGGCACAATCTTCCTCAGCCTACTCAAGCTCAACTGATGAGGGGTGAATTCCCCGAAACACCGTGTATTGAGCAGGGAGTGGTGCTTTCTTGCAGGTTTGCCGAGTGGAAGGTGCGACGTGCTCCTCGTGTGCTCCGGATGGCAGTCGTGAGTCAGTCAAGTGTCAAGTTCGGCAAGAAGCGTGTGTTCCTAGTTGGAACAATCAACTTCAGAAATAATAATAATAATAATAATTTCCCTTTTTTGTTTTCGCTGGTGTCTACAATTATTGTGTAGTTGTGTACATTGCATGCAGGGAGTCGAAAAATATTAATTTAAAAATTATTTTACGACTCCTTTGTAAATAATCGACCTGGGACCGATCGGTGGTGATGAGGAGAATGACACGGAGGACGACACTGAGGATGAGTTGGAAGATGAGACGGGGGACGAGGTTGCGGTTGGTGGAGACGAGGAATCGGATGGTGATTGTGATCGTAAGAAGTCTGCCGTTTTTCTTCATCTGTTGTCTCACCCTAAGTGTCTGCAGGTGTATGATGATTTTAGTTTTTCTGTTCTTTGTCGTGCACGGTACGCTAGTCAGTTGAAAGTACTTGAGGCTGTTTGTATTCGTTTGCATAAGCCTGATCTTTGTAAGCAGAAGAAACATGTAGTTGCGTTAAGATTGTTTTCGTAGGTGCACAGCATGATTGTTTGTCTCACTACATAGTTCTAGCGTTGCAATTAGTTCCTCACCCCTGTTGCACTTAGCTCTCACTTTACTTCTATTGTCTCACCTTCCCTCATTCTATTTTTAGCACTTTGTTTTGTTCTCGTAACACATTATTGAATGTATATAAATTATTAATTTGGCATGGTTATTCTTCAGTCACGGCTTTCCACTGATGATTGTGACAAGAAAATCGATTTTGGTAAACCTTCATGACTTTGTTGTAGTGTGGCGATGACAGCAGAATTTGTTCTCTTTATAGCTATTATGACTCCTTTGTAGATCTACATTACCCATATAAAAACCGCTCTGTGAGCGGTTCTGAAAAACCTCTACTGGTGCAGCCCCGTCGTAAAAGTAAGAAATTAGGACTGGTGCATTGTCCTCCCAAATGTGAACTGATCCACCTTAATCGCGATTGACGGGACCCGAACGCACCAGTAGCACGAGGTTCCTACCTGTGGATGCAGCTGGGGACGCTGGTCCATACCCAAAGCCAAAGGTGGGCTTCGGGGTACTGTAACTTAGTGTAAGTGTTGTATGGTAACCTGATCGGCGCCGGTCCATTGCTGTAATCCTGTGCCCTCCCGACCTCGGGCTACTGGTGCGTTCGGGTCCCGTCAATCGCGATTTAGGTGGATCAGTTCACATTTGGGAGGACAATGCACCAGTCCTAATTTCTTACTTTTACGACGGGGCTGCACCAGTAGAGGTTTTTCAGAACCGCTCACAGAGCGGTTTTTATATGGGTAATTTTAGTTATTTTTCTGTTCCCTCCCCCACCCCGGCACAGCTCCGAAGATAAACATGGTGAGCATGCGCGCGATGCACTGTATGTAGCCATGCGATTGCAGTAGCACACGGATACATTCCAGCCCTTCCCACCTCGCTACCCCGCACACAGACACATTGTGACAAACAAGCACATGCACATGGCACACACACATGGGCACGCACACACATACACACACAGTGACACATACACACACACACACACACACGGCCCAAACAGGAAAATTCTTGATGAACATTGTATAATGTCATGCAAAGCAGTGGCCAGCATACTTCAGGAAGTCAGTTGTGAAACAAAATAAAGGTAAGCTGGCAGCCAAAGCACAACATTGCAAACCGTGATGATATTTGCCTAAGGATTGCAGTTTGCAGACCACACCATGGAAGCAGTGAGTGCAGAATGATTGTAATGTCATACAAAGACAAGCAAAGAAGTGGCCACCATACACCAGAAACTTGCAGAAAGTCACATATCCAACAGATAGAGAAGTGAACAGCATCTGGTACAGCCCACACAAAACCAAGCTGACCTGATACTCGTCCGTAGATCGTAAGTGGCAGATCCTTTTCAACGATAGCATGCAGGTGTAGGTTTCACGCTTGGACAAAATCTGACCGTGTCACCGGCATACATGGTCATCACATGCATACCCCACAAGTTACACACATGCACAGTAGCAGCACAATAAAAGCAATGGAAAAATGAAGGGGTTGCTGAAGCATCTTCACACTTCAAATTCAGACTTCGATGTGGTCGTCACGGGATGATATACCTGCAAGATACAAGTGATGCAGAAAGAAAGCAGAAGGTCGTGAGGTAGGCTATGGGACACCACAAACGGGTCACCTACATGTATGTTCAGGGTTGGTGTACACACACACACACACACGCAGAATTATCATAATCGAGAATTTCCTAAACTGAAAAGAGCAATGAAATCCACTTGCATGCACAGGAGCAATTTTGCAGTATGATGCGCAGCTCGCGAATACACCTGTTGGCAATGGATTAAATTCCCATTGGAATTCCCATTCACGTGGGAGTCACAGAAGCAATTTGGCAGTGTGCTGCGCAATGCGGCATGACCTGTGATTCTGCGTGCGATGCAAACTCGCACAAAATACCATTCACAGAATCACGACAAGACGTAAGCGATGCAACAGCGCCTTGCTGACGTGCCTCAAGTCAAAGCTCAATGAGAATGTGTTTGTCGGCTATAACTGGTACAAATGTACAAGCAATTTCTGAAAATGCTCCTGTGAATCCTGCTTTAAATGTCCCTCCTCCACTCTCCTCCCCCCCCCCCCCTCCACACCCGCAGGGAACTTGGCAAGGAAGGGTGGTCTTCGCGGTTCCCAACATCTATTTGCAGTTTCTCGTCTCCACTATGTCTTTTCAATGGGGATTTGTACGTACCATAAAAGCAAGCCTAAAATGAACAGCACATTTGTAGTTCCTCCACTGGGGAGGATGCGTTCCACAGCTATCCTGACAAGATATTCCGAGAAGCGGTGCTGAGTGCAATCAAGAGTACATAACCCCCGGGGTTATGTACTCTTGGTGCAATGCATTGTGAAACTGACCAAGCGCATCTAACGTCTAAACTTTAATGGTAGTTCGCCACTGAGTTGACTACTTTCAGACTCCATGTAGGTCGGAGTACATCTGGCTTAAAAGTTGACAACAACGGCGCACGCACATAAGCAACGGCCACCTTACCTGTACTGTAGCAGTACTTCCGAGTTACCGTATGGGAGTTCCCTCACTGTGTGTGCAATAGCAGCCTCATCGGACCAGATCAATGCGACGCGGACAGTCCGACACTGAGGAGGACATTGAAGAAGTCAGAGACAGGAAGAATGGTTGATTTACAAATCAACTAGCAAGGCTGCACACCCACGAAGTTCCACTCACCATTGTGCCGTCCTTCTTGGAATGCAGAAATAACGCTTCTTCTCGAGAACGCAGCCTGTGACAGAGAAAAAGGAAGGAGCATCGCCATCGGCATTGGTCCTCTTCTATCATCGATTGCCGATTTGCACAGTTCACTCTAACAAGACTGAGGACGTTCAAGAACTCCCCATCCATACCATCATTGGAGTAAGAGGAAAGGTCAGATTGCCCAGTTCCACCCAGCATTCCTGCATGCCAGGATAGATGTGCTGCCCTCCGCCCCTCCCTTCTACTGCCTGAAAAGGGCAACATATGTGACAGCGTTCACCAGTACAGTCGGAAGAGAACATGGGAGAAGGCAAAAAAGGGCAACACACATGAATCCCTTATAAACAAGCAGTGGCGATTCTAGCACCAGCAATGTTTATTGTTGGACTTACATCCCAGCCATTGCCGCCGGATTCAGCGGCTTCTTCTTCTTCGTCTCCCATCTTGGAAGCACTCCTTCCCGTAAGTTCAGTCCTGGGAGTACAGTCGAAGGAGGACGGAGGAAAAGGCAAAAAGGCAACACACATGATTCCCTTATAAGCAAGCAGTGGCAACTCTAGCACCAGCAATGTTGGACTTACATCCCAGCCATTGCTGCCGGATTACCACGCTTTTTCTTCGTCGTCTTCCAGTTCCCAGGTTCCATCTTGCAAATACTCCTTCCCGTAAGTAAGTGCAGTCCTGGCCTGGGTGGATGCGCAGTACATTGACGATGGCGGAGATGGAGCAGGTCAGGGAGCCCTACAGGTCCCGAGAGCAGAATGCGGCCAAATTCGGGACGATGCCGGACCCCAGTCAGTATGAAGTAGCGAATTGCGGATCGCCACGTGCACGTAGATTGGGGTCGCGGGGTCATATTCCACGGGCACTACTCGTACGTTGCTCCAAAAAAGGGCACTGCACTGTTCCACAGTAGATGTTAGCGGTCCCCAAAGGCCCTTGGTAGGCCGGTTATTGGGTCACGTGTCAACAAAGCGTCAACAACGTGTCAACAAAGTGTCGACCACGTGTCTTTAGCGGTACACTAATTTTGGTGTCCCCAAACTGAAAACATCGAGCACCAGTATGGAAAGGCTTTAGACAGAAAGCCTTTCCAATATTGACATTGTAGCGTCTGCGCGGTTTTCCAATATTGACATTGTAGCGTCTGCGCGGTTGGGCGGTTGCGCATGCATGCACTTCACTCTAGTGACCAAAGTCGCGAAGGATGTGCCCGATTCGACTGTGCGAAAGAGTTAAAAACCCATACATTACTGTCATTAGACATGGTTAGCATTTTACCGTTCACGCAATTTTCGACAGCCGGCGTGTAGAGGGCGAGTCTACTGGTTTTCGTGTGTTTTCGAGACACAGTTTAGCAGTTCGGCTTCTGAGTCCTGACTCTTGATGCAATGCTCGACTTGTGAGTTGTGACGTAGCTCTAACTTGAAACCTCACTGTTTCGCTCTCCCGCTAAACATGTCTTTCCATCGTCGAAACGATACTAAACCGACGGTATTTTGGGTGTTGGGTACGAGTACCGTTGGATCTAGCGTGAACGGTAAAATGCCATGTCTTCACACACACACAAAACGGTATAGGCCGACAGTGGAAAATAGCGTGAACGGTAAAATGCCATGTCTATACACACACACACAAAACGGTATAGGCCGACAGTGGAAAATAGCATGAACGGTGAAATGCCATGTCTACACACACACGAAAACGGTATAGGCCGACAGTGGAAAATAGCGTGAACGGTAAAATGCCATGTCTACACACACACAAAACGGTATAGTCCGACAGTGGAAAATAGCGTGAACGGTAAAATGCCATGTCTACACACACGCACAAAACGGTATAGGTCGACAGTGGAAAATAGCGTGAACGGTAAAATGCCATGTCTACACACACACGAAAACGGTATAGGCCGACAGTGGAAAATAGCGTGAACGGTAAAATGCCATGTCTATACACACACACACACACACAAAACGGCATAGGCCGACAGTGGAAAATAGCGTGAACGGTAAAATGCCATGTCTATACACACACACACACAAAACGGTATAGGCCGACAGTGGAAAATAGCGTGAACGGTAAAATGCCATGTCTATACACACACACAAAACGGTATAGGTCGAAAGTGGAAAATAGCGTGAACGGTAAAATGCCATGTCTACACACACACAAAACGGTATAGTCCGACAGTGGAAAATAGCGTGAACGGTAAAATGCCATGTCTACACACACACAAAACGGTATAGGCCGACAGTGGAAAATAGCGTGAACGGTAAGATGCCATGTCTACACACACACAAAACGGTATAGGCCGACAGTGTAAAATAGCGTGAACTGTAAAATGCCATGTCTATAGACACACACAAAACGGTATAGGTCGACAGTGGAAAATAGCGTGAACGGTAAAATGCCATGTCTACACACACACACACACAAAACGGTATAGGTCGACAGTGGAAAATAGCGTCAACGGTAAAATGCCATGTCTACACACACACACAAAACGGTATAGTCCGACAGTGGAAAATAGCGTGAACAGTAAAATGCCATGTCTATACACACACACAAAACGGTATAGGTCGACAGTGGAAAATAGCGTGAACGGTAAAATGCCATGTCTACACACACACAAAATGGTATAGGCCGACAGTGGAAAATAGCGTGAACGGTAAAATGCCATGTCTACACACACACACAAAACGGTACAGGCCGATAGTGGAAAATAGCGTGAACGGTAAAATGCCATGTCTATACACACACACAAAACGGTATAGGCCGACAGTGGAAAATAGCGTGAACGGTAAAATGTCATGTCTACACACACACAAAACGGTATAGGCCGACAGTGGAAAATAGCGTGAACGGTAAAATGCCATGTCTATACACACACACAAAACGGTATAGACCGACAGTGGAAAATAGCGTGAACGGTAAAATGCCATGTCTACACACACACAAAACGGTTTAGGCCGACAGTGGAAAATAGCGTGAACGGTAAAATGCCTTGTCTATACACACACACAAAACGGTATAGGCCGACAGTGGAAAATAGCGTGAACGGTAAAATGCCATGTCTATACACACACACAAAACGGTATAGGCCGACAGTGGAAAATAACGTGAACAGTAAAATGCCATGTCTATACACACACACAAAACGGTATAGGTCGACAATGGAAAATAGCGTGAACGGTAAAATGCCATGTCTACACACACACACAAAACGGTATAGGTCGACAGTGGAAAATAGCCTGAACGGTAAAATGCCATGTCTACACACACACAAAACGGTTTAGGCCGACAGTGGAAAATAGCGTGAACGGTAAAATGCCATGTCTACACACACACACAAAACGGTATAGGCCGACAGTGGAAAATAGCGTGAACGGTAAAATGCCATGTCTATACACACACACAAAACGGTTTAGGCCGACAGTGGAAAATAGCGTGAACGGTAAAATGCCATGTCTATACACACACACAAAACGGTATAGTCCGACAGTGGAAAATAGCGTGAACGGTAAAATGCCATGTCTACACACACACAAAACGGTATACATGTAGGTCGACAGTGGAAAATAGCGTGAACGGTAAAATGCCATGTCTATACACACACACAAAACGGTATAGGCCGACAGTGGAAAATAGCGTGAACGGTAAAATGCCATGTCTACACACACACACAAAACGGTATAGGTCGACAGTGGAAAATAGCGTGAACGGTAAAATGCCATGTCTATACACACACACAAAACGGTATAGGCCGACAGTGGAAAATAGCGTGAACGGTAAAATGTCATGTCTACACACACACAAAACGGTATAGTCCGACAGTGGAAAATAGCGTGAACGGTAAAATGCCATGTCTACACACACACACAAAACGGTATAGGCCGACAGTGGAAAATAGCGTGAACTGTAAAATGCCATGTCTACACACACACAAAACGGTATAGTCCGACAGTGGAAAATAGCGTGAACGGTAAAATGCCATGTCTACACACACACACAAAACGGTATAGGCCGACAGTGGAAAATAGCGTGAACTGTAAAATGCCATGTCTACACACACACAAAACGGTATAGCCGACAGTGGAAAATAGCGTGAACGGTAAAATGCCATGTCTACACACACACACAAAACGGTATAGGCCGACAGTGGAAAATAGCGTGAACTGTAAAATGCCATGTCTACACACACACAAAACGGTATAGCCGACAGTGGAAAATAGCGTGAACGGTAAAATGCCATGTCTACACACACACACAAAACGGTATAGGCCGACAGTGGAAAATAGGGTGAACGGTAAAATGGTAACAATGTCTATAGTATTGAGAAACACACGCTAGACTCGACCAACTCACATACAATGTACATGTACCTCTAATGACATGACGTAATGGTAGTCTGCTGGGCTGCCATATCGCAGAACAAGACCATCTCTGCATTCACTGTTTGACAGCTAGAACCCAGGAGCCTTCAGTGAACGGCAGGTGCATGGTTAGTCTGCTGAATACTCCAGACTCGAGGACCTGGTTCATGGCACGATGCAGACTTTCAGAGAATGTGCTGATGACACAACGTCACCGTAGCAGCAGCAGCAGCAGCAGCACCCTGAATATGGGCTATCTTCACTGCCTACCTTCCTTGGTGTTCATATGACTGACGGTGGACAGCGAAGTTCTAAGCTGTGGACATTTAGTCATGATGTTGTAGAGGTGAGGGATGGTGAGGAACGATACAGCGTACCCAGTTCAGTGGGATCAAGCATACCAAGACAGCTTTCTGGACATGGGAAAGAGAAGAGATGGTGGAGACCAGTGTCAACAGGTTGTTCTGTCAGGTTTGTTAGATCTTTGCATGCGGATGACATGCTCTACGGGTGTCATGACTTGGGCACGCTGGAAACCATGCGTGTCTGTAAGTTTGTATACTTGGTGATGGTTTGGCCTAGAGAGCGCGATACATGTGGTGCTTTTCAAGCACAATCTTCACGAACTGCTGACCCACTCTTCATTTACTGACTATAATATTTACTTGACGACACTTGATATAATTATGTAGTAGGTTTAAAATAATTTTTGACAATAGAATGACTTTCAAGACCAACATTCTCTTCACAGTGTGCTCATAATGACAGGTGAGGAGCATGGAATACTTTCCTGCAGGCAAACTACATCTCGCTGGATCACATGCAGCACATCCTGACCTGCACTTTCACCCTGGTCACGTATTACTTCTGTTGACTGCACCCATTTGCTTCAGAGCGCACTTCAACCCTGCTGCAGTCAACCCTGCCATTGGTGCACTAAAAGTCGGTCGTTGGTAGCGCAAGGCAGGAGGTCTCTGTATCCGGAGCAGTTTCTGTGTAGAACTGTCCGTAGAAAGAAAACGGCCGTTAAAGATAGGTGGTCGCTAACACCAGAGGTCGCTTGCAACAGGTTTTATTTTATCTGTTATACACACTATGTAATAATGAATGAACTACTAGTACAACCCATCTTCTCCTGTTGGTTGACATCATGTAAAAAGGGGGGGGGGACCACCGTGTTGGGAAACAGTGACCTTACTACAACCATCC